TCGCTATGTGATTGTATACGGTCGAAATAGATTTCGGCCTTCCTACGTTCGATCGAGTTCGAGTGTTAAGAAGTCGGAATGAGATTTTGGGAGTGAGCTTTGAGGTCGGTACTAACGAACCTCGAGCCCGAAGGTCGCTCGAGGAGGCGGCTCGATAATCCTATCGAGCCCGTGACCGAATCGATCCGCTAGGCACTACTTCGAGGTCGAAAATGCGCGACGCCTATTTCGAAGGTCGAACTCGATCCAAGACCGAAAGGCCCGACCCGGTAACGAGTTCGAGCTAGTATCGAGCTCACAGACAAAAGCCGTTGCAACCACACCAAGAGAGAGAATCTTGGTGGGAATCAAGGAAGAGACAAGTCATCATGGGTCTTCCACTACATGTTTTACTTTATTGTATTTTGGTAATGACCTTCTTCTATAAAAGAGGAATCCTTGTAAGCTAGAAGGGGGAAGAGAAAAAGATCACTTCTTATATTGATAGTTATCCCCTTGTACTTGTTTCACTTATTCATTCTTTTTGCTTATTATTTTCGTTCTTACAGTCAACAATACACATATTTCCATTTTTCTACGCGATTTATATCAAATTGTATCGCATATCCTTAGAACCATCCACAAATCTAACGTTATCCGATTTTTCCGGTAAACAGTGATAATTTAACTATTTGTCAACATTTTATGCTGAATTTTCTTACGTTGTCAAATTGTAAGTGTATTTAGGGGTCGTTTCGTCGAAGGGCTAAGAAAATAAATCCCAGCTTAAAATCTTACACACAATATGTAAAAGAATATTTGGTTGAAGACATTATGAAAATAACTCCCGTATAATTAATGCAACACTTGAATAGAGGTAGATAAAAGATAAACACCGTTGAACTAATGCACCGTCTGATTGACAATATTAATATACATTTATCGTGTTGTGCCAGGATATATAATCTTTTGAGGAATGAAATATGGAGTAAAAGTATGTGTATTAGCAATACGAGAATAAATCTTTTTAAATACATAGTTTACTTTAAGTAAGTAATTTTTATCCAACATTTCTTGCATTCACCATGTATAATTCAATAGTATCATTCACTGTAAATAATTCTTTCATTATTATTAACGTCATAAATGTTTTATTGCAGGGATTATTGGTCTGAAATATAAAAAAACGGAAAAGGGTCAGAAATGCCCTTAACGTATTAGAAATGGCTCAAAAATGCCCTCCTTTCACCTATGAGTTCAAATTTGCCCTTAATATTATTTTTAGGCTTAAAAATACCCCTCTCTTAACGGAAAGATGCCATGGCATTGATGAACATTTTAACATTAAGGGCAAATTTGAACCCATAGGTGGAATGAGGCATTTTTGAGTCATTTCTAATACGTTAAGGACATTTATGACCCTTTTCCGTTTTAATTAAACATGTAACATTTATTTAGTCTGGAAAAAAGTGAATTTATTTTTACTAAAAACAGAAAAAAATAAAAATATTTTTTCCCAGTTTTTACAAAAACAAACTGCTTTAAAAAAAGCTAAAAAATATTTTCTAAAACAATATTTTTGTAAAAACTAGAAAATAAAACTGAAAAGCAATTTTTTAAAGCAATGTTTTTGTAAAAGCTGAAAAATACATTTCCTCTTCTTCCTTCCTTATTTGTCCATATGCTTTTTGAATTTATTTTTTATAAATTTTAGTTCTTCTAATGAGTTAGTACATCAAAACTGAAATATTTTTGTTTTTTTTCAGTTTTTAGTAAAAAAAAAATTACTTTTTTCCAGACTAAATAAATGCTACATGTTTAATTAAAATATTATTTTTTCAGAACTCAGAAAGCCAATTTATTTTTAAATAAATGCTACATGTTTAACTAAATAAATGCTACATTTTTCAAGACTAATGAATAGTTTTTTTTTTAACTAAAAACTGAAAAAAACGAAAATATTTCAATTTTGATATACTAACTCATTAGAAGAACTAAAATATATAAAAAATGAACTCAGAAAGCATATGGACAAACAAGTAAGGAAGAAGAAAATGAAATATTTTTTTTTCCAGCTTTTACAAAAATATTGCTTTAGAAAATTGCTTTTCAGTTTTTGTTTTTTTAGTTTTTGCAGAAATATTATTTTAGAAAATATTTTTCAGCTTTTTTTAAAGCAGTTTTTTTTGTAAAAACTGGAAAAAAATATTTTCGTTTTTTTTTTCAGTTTTTAGTAAAAATAAATTCACCTTTTTTCGGACTAAATAAATGCTACATATTTAATTAAAACGGAAAAGGGTCAGAAATGCCCTTAACGTATTAGAAATGGCTAAAAAATGCCCTCCTTCCACTTATGGGTTCAAATTTGCCATTAATGTTAAAATTTCCATCAATGCCATGTCATCTTTCCGTTAAGAGAGGGGCATTTTTAAGCCTAAAAATAACATTAAGGGCAAATTTGAACCCATAGGTGGAAGGAGGGCATTTTTGAGCCATTTCTAATACGTTAAGGACATTTCTGACCCTTTTCCGTATAAAAATTTTTAATCTGCAATTACAATTTTATATTACTTGTACGACTTCCGATATAAAGTCTTGCATGACTAATATAATCTTTGTTTAACTATACAATGTTTGGTTTTTGGTATTAAACTCGTCATAAGTTGTTTAGTTTAATAATCAAATGTATTATTAATTTTTGTATTAACTAATACAATAATATATGTATTATTTTATATGTGATATATAGAATGTGACATAAGAATATATGTATTTGGACAACAATATCTTAAAACCAAGTATACTTAAATTAGAGAATTCCCACTTTACAATTTATGTTCTATTATTCACCACATAATAATGCTCAGGGTCGTGTGGTGACGTACTAATTATGGGAGGAATTATATAGCAGAGACTGTTTATGCACTCATCAATAAATAGATTGTTATACATGAGTTATTTATTTTAAAATTTATTTTTATTTTTATATAATTTTATTCATACATTACTAGTACATATATTTAAACTCTCACACAATGAATACGGGATGTGATTTAGAGTGTTTTTGGTATAACGGAAAATATTTTTCGTGAAAAATATTTTTTTAAAAAATATTTTTTTGGAAAACAAGTAGTAATCTTATTTATTTTTCGGTGTTTTGTACGCAAATTAAGAAAAATAACTTCTCACGAATATTCATAAATAATTTAGATACAATAAACATGAAGTAATAAACTTTCGAACCAAACGAAAAAAACTTTTTGGGAGGTTGGGGGCGTAGGGTGGGTGGTGACGGAAAAAAAAACTGAAATTTAAAAAAAAAAAGCCTTTTTGGAGAGAGAGTGTGGGGTTAGGTGGGTGGGTGTGAGGGTGTGGAGTGGGTGGGTGAGGGTGAGAAAGGTTGAGAAGGAGTTTTGGAAAATGTTTTCTCTTCTCTTGATAAGGGAAACATTGGAGAGAAATGAGTTTATAAAAAAAATATTTTCCAAAACAGTTAAGCCAACGAAACATGAAAAAATTAAAAAATATTTTTCGAAAAATATTTTCCTTCATACCAAACACACCCTTAATATCATCGTCCAAACATTTGCATTAGTTTTGCAATGATTAATTTTTCTTATCACAATCAAAAGGGTCTATGGCATCATCGTTACTCTGTAATTGAACACATGAAACAACAATAACAATTCAGTGTAATCTTATTAGTGGGGTCCGGACATTGAACATCGGAAAATCAATAAAGAATTTCAAATCGGCAATTGCCCAAGGACAGTCACGTTCTCTACATGATGTGAATATTTATTTGGAGGCTATTAAAAGGAATCTAACGAGAAAGTGGAGCAAATAAAAAATGTAGAAATGATACTAAGGTCAAATGCACTAAGGTGAATCACATAGGGATCGGACTAAAATTAGAATAAAACAATAGACGAGGGANGGGGGATTATTCATAGTCTTAATTACCAATCTGAACTAGGTTATTTGACAACAATTACCCCTCGACTAACTAATCCCAGGGAAGTAATATACACGTGCCTGCCACATGGATTTTTCTCTCCACGTGGTATTTTTTAAAAATAAAATATACTTTTAATTTTTTTAAATTCATTAATTTTTGAGTTTATCTTTTTCGGATTAGATTTGTAAAAAACAAAGAATTTACCCGAACCTCATTATTTAGGCTAAATTTGTTTATTTGGCTAAAAATAATAAAAATTTCTATTAAAACTTTTACAATATGACCAAAAAAATGAAAAATATACATTTAAAATAAGTAGTAATTGCATCTAAACAAGATATAAAAATATAGTTTGAACTTCACTATTTTTTCTAAATCTTTTTATTTGACTAAAAATCTATAAGCAAATTTTACTTGAAAAAGAAAATAAAAAATTAAAATAAATAGTCATCGCATCTAACGAAGAAGAAAATTACATACACAATTGCAGCTCCATCTTTTTTCTATATTTTATTTGACAAAAAGAATAGAGCTTTAGGTAAAATTTTTTAATTGATTTTTTCGGAAACAAAAATATACAGTTGAAACAAAAAGCTATTGTATCTAAAGAAAAGATAACAAGAAATACACTGTTGATACTCCATTATTTTAGCTTTAAAAAATTTATTTAGTTAAGATAATGGATTTCCATCCAATTTCTTTCCAAATTTAGCGTGAAAAAAAATTCACAGTTGGAATAAATAAAAATTATGTCCATATAAGATATTAATTTTTTTTTTAAAGGTTGGATAAATATGCATTGTATATTAAGATGAAATAATAACAAACACATCATTGTATATATGACAATTAATCCCGCCATGAAGCTAATTTATCGATTTTTATTTTTTATTTTTCTTCACATTCATCGTGCCAAAAATAAAATATATCCACTAGAGGGTAAAAACAATCCAATAGCTAAGGTCAGTGGTTCATTAATGCCGAAGCTGGAATTTGGAAAGACAAAACAATGGAACCACAGTGTTAAGTGACGACGATTCCAAACCCTTTTGGACCCTAAATCATGGCTTCCAGCTTTAGAAGTGGTAATAATTTGAGAAATTCTCCTTCTTCGAAGAAACAGAAAGTGACAGTCAGTAGAGTTGAAGACGCCCTAGACCGTATCTATCACTTGCCTGACTCACTCCTAATTCAAATTCTCTCTCTTCTTCCAACAAAGGATGCATTCAGAACATGTATTCTCTCTAAAATTAGGTGGCAGTATCTCTGGACTTCTGTTTATAACTTCAATTTTACTTGTAATAGTTTCATGGAAGTAGAAAGCTTCGGATCCTTTATTGACTATGTATTAGCTCATTCTGTTTCTTCCAAAATAAAAAAGTACTACTACTAAATTGACTGCAGTGACATGTATCCAGTATTCTATAGTAGCCTGTATGATTACGGCTCGCTTGTCAGTCGGATCTCTTAGTTTTGCTGTTGAGAGAAAAGTGGAAAATGGTGTATTCTGGTCATATGGTAATGACGACTACAAATTACCTGAATCTCTCTGCAAATGTTCGTCGTTGATAACTTTAGATGTTAAATATTGTAGCATTTATCACGCGATCATATCGTGAAAATATCTAAAGAGCATAAAGTTTGGGTATTCAGTGTTAAACGATGACGATATTGTGAACTTACTGTCAGGCTATCGAATTTTGTAATGTTGAGCCTTTTCGTCGCTTGGAAATTAATTCATTAAAATTAAAGAGACTGAAGCTGAAAGATTATTGGTGCTGTCGTGATGGAAGAGATCATTCCTTAGAAATTTGTGCCCCGTATCTTCAGCATTTGGAAATTTCAGGAGAGCTTTATGATCTCAAATGCTGGCTTGTCGATGTGTCCTCTGTGGTTAATGCGAAGCTTACTTTCAACATTAGGTGTATCAAAGACATTGAGGATGATAATGGTGAAGAATTGAATGACGAGGAAGACCGTTGTCGTGACTATCATCAAGTATTTAGGACCCTCGTGCAAGATTATCTTCAAAAGTTGAGTTGTGCAACTGAGCTAACAATTGGAACTTGGTTCACGAAGGTTTGTTTTTAACTCAAAAGTCCTTAAAATTGTTTGTATTTTTGGTTTAAAATTGACATTGTAAATGATATAGATCAGATGTTAGGCTTCATTAATACCCCCGCATAGCTAAACAGGGTGCTTTTGCTCAGATGTACATAACTAGTGTAATTCAGCACTCACCTGGTGCTGTCAAATAGAAAAATAGCTCAAAATTTAGGCTTTGATTCAAAATAGTTCCTTATATATTTGGTAGAGCACTAACTTTCCTCCAAGTATCGATAAGTGGTGCACATATAGTCATCGCCAACCTTTTCCGTTAAAGTTTCACAAATAACCATGTTGACTTTTTGTTGTTGAACCGTGCTTTTTGATAAAGTTGTTGTTGAACCATGCTAACTTAATGTCATGCTTCCGGAGCTTTTAAAAAGAAAAGAAAAGCCATTGACCGGGAATATTAGACACGACAGATACAGAAAATTTTACAAATTGACTATAAACAAGCAAAAGAGCGATTCAATGTTTCTTCACTTGATCAAATACTGGAATTGTCTTTCTATTTCTGACATTGCCAAATGGATAAAGTTATGGGTATTGAATTATCAATGCCTTCTTTATTTCTAGTAACACAAAATGGCTGCTTTCTACATTATTATCACAAAATTCACCCAAGAAACCAAGTAATCACGGTGTCTGAACAAAAAGGAATTGAAAATGTTTTGATGGAATATCAACTCCTAATCACATTCTCAAGGCTAAGTTTCTTCTATGTCTATATAGTTGGAGTAATCTTTCCCCTGTAAACTCCCCTGACACCTTTTTGGACTTTGTTAGCTCCTTATCTTAAGCTTAGGGCACATTGTAATGGAGCTGACAAACTCACATTTGTTCTATCTTTGTAATATTTGCATGTACTTGATGTCATTAATGAAACCACTTACTTCATCCAAAAAAAAAACCTAAGTAATCACGACCTGGTCACTCCACTATGCTCTGTAGTTCTATTGCTTCTCCTCAAGTACATCCTAAACCCTTGTACTGGACATACTTTGAGTCTTCAAAACAAAATAACTGAGATCCAGACTATCCTTAACTACTATAACATATTGAGGGAGACTAGTGCTGAGAGGAAGGTGTAAATTTCAAGCGAAACAAAATTGTCTAAGATTCGGCTATTTCCTCCTTGGGGTGCGGCCCTTCCCAGACCCTGCGTGAACGCGAGATGTTTCGTGCACCAGCTGCCTTTTATTCGGTTAATTCCTCCACCTATCTTGCCTTTCATTAGTCCTTCTCAACTCCAAGTTATCTTTCCAGACTACTTCATGGTTAAACCCACCACATTGCCGTATATCCAAATGCTTCTTTGGAACTCTCCTTCCACCGGAAAACTTTCCCCATTGCGAGAATATGCGACGATTCTTTAAGTTTTGTGAGTGGAACACGTGAACCCAACATGGTTTCTCCGTTAAGTCTTTAGCGAAAACAGTGAGTAAAGACTTGAAATGCACCCTTTTACATACTTGAAGGACTATTATTGCACCACTTGATATTTAAGGGACGACTCTGATTTCAGGTCCAAACTTAAAGGACAATTTTGGGACTTCTCTCTGTCAAGTAATTAAAATTACCTTACCTTTCTCAAAAAACTCCGAAGTCCTTATTTTGTTGGATTGATTGATAGGAGACAATTGCAGAATGTAAACCTTACACAATTGAGAACCTTTTGCACAAAATTCACCAACAGAACTGGACAGATTATAGAAACTGGTGGATATTTATGCCTTTTGGCAATCCTTTTGTCAACTTTTCCAAGTCAGGTATTTCTTTTGTCATACAGGAAAAAGATTGTCTAGAAACGAGGATTTTTGTGCATTGATGTTACTTAGAGTGTTCAGACAGTTAGATTTGTCAAAGCACTATCTCTCTGCTGTGTACTTTCTTTTTGTTGTTATTGCTTTCTCCATTCTTTACTATTTTCATTGTGATTACTGCACCAGGTCCTATGCATGTTGCAGTTCAAAGGGGTGCTGATTCCAGAATTGAAGTGCAAATATCTAACGCTAGAGTTGCATATGGGAAAGTTTAATTTGTACGGAGCAGCTACCCTTTTGCGAGCCTCGCCTTATGTGGAGGCACTCAACATAGACATGGATAACACAGATGTAACTTCCTGGAACTTTTCTCTTCCTTTTACATCTGGGGACAACTATTGTAATTATTTTCGAAGTCCCATTAAGATTTGTTGATTCTGAAATTTTTCTATACCACACACTTCTACTGTGAAATCATTTTTGTCACTTTTTTGCATTTTCTATTAGGCTGACCTGCATTTGATCCTGATTATATTCTCTGTCTCCCGTTTGAGTTTGATGGTTCCTGGTGCCACTTTGAGTTAAGCTATTTGGCCAAAGGAGATAATACTGATTTGCGGAGTTGGATTTCATGCTTTGTGTTTCCCAACCTCAAGAATGTTAAGATTGTCAACTCCTCCGGGGTGTGTTTGAAGGATCATTTCAAACAGGGCTATGACAGGCTTTTCAAACTTTCAGAATTTGTGTTAAAGAACGCAACTGTTTTGGAGAAGTTCATTTATCATATCGAAGACAAGAAAGTGCAAGAGATGTTCGATGAACTGTGTTTCCACATATTTATATCAATTGGCTGGGCAATTGTTAGGCTGCCCATGAGCCTCCTCCAATTCTCTGATTATCTTCCAGGAGTGAGCTTTCCAAGACTGTTAGTAGTTTCTTGTCTCAGCATATAAGTAATATCGCCTTATTTTAAATTTTTGATAAGCTGCTCGTGCAATCATGAAACTTTAACTACTCTATGTAACTAGTTACTTATTTTGCTTTTGGACTAACCCTTCTGGCATATCTAATGTGAGTTTTTGGCCAATAATGTGGGTAGCTCTATTTCGATCCCTCAAATATAGTCCTGAGCATATTTAGTCTCCTAAGTATGCTAAAGTGGAGCACATTTAATCTCACTGACACCATGTGTTCAAAAACTAACGGTGTTACCCAACTCTGATTCATGAAACAAGTCTTCTGCTCTGAAGCAAAACGTTTCCTCTCCTTTTATTGGATAACGCAAATTATCACTTTAATTCCTCATTTTTAGATAATGTCTTCTAAAATTTTGACCTTGAAAATATCCTCTTCTGTGTCAGTTTTCAATGAGAAAATGACACTGTATAGCCGCTGTAAAAATAATAGCCGAATATATATATATATATATATATATATATATACATTTTGTATGTTAATATATAAAAATTATACAAAATTTATATATTTTTTCCGCTATCCAGATGTAAATAGTTTCTGGCACATGCTAAAAGTGATAATACAACCTGGTTATTCGTTTGGTTCAATAATATGACTAGAAGTGATCCTAGCAACTCTATTTTTTTCAAATTTTAACTTTTCTTTTTGAAAAAATCAACCGAAATCTTTAAATGTATATATATACAAAAAATATACTCCTTCCGTTTCAATTTATGTGAACCCATTTGACTGGACACGAAGTTTAAGAAAAGAGAGAAGACTTTTGAACTTGTGGTGTAAAATGAGGCACATATATTTTGTGTGGCTATAAATCATTGGATAAATGTAAACTGTTTCCAAATAAGGAAATTGATCATTCTTTTTGGTACAGACTAAAAAGGAAATAAGTTCACATAAATTGAAACGGGGGAGTATAAATTTTATACATTTTTTCGGCTATTATTTTTACAGCGGCTATACAGTATCATTTACTCATTGAAAATTGGCACATAAGGGGATATTTTCAAGGTCAAAATTTTAGAAGACATTATCTAAAAATGAGGAATTAAAGTGATAATTTGCGTTATCCAATAAAAGGAGAGGAAACATTTTGCTTCAGAGCAGAAGATTTGCTTCATGAATCAGAGTTGGGTAATACCGTTAGTTTTTGAACATATTGTGTAGGTGAGACTAAAGGTACTCCACTTTACCATACTTAAGGGACTAAATATGCTCAGGGTTATATTTGAGGGACCAAAATCGACCTACCCTCAAAGATAAGGCACAATATTGGTCAAAAACTCTATCTAATGTTATGGTATCTTGGTTCATGATTTTAAAAAAATGTTATGGTATCTTGGTTCTCGTGAAGCATTTTTTGTTGCATTTTAGATGATGTACATGCACATTGAGATTTTCTTGCAACTTTTGTTTCTCTGCACCTACTAATATGAGCAGATAGATAAGCCACATATTTTATGATAATTAGCGGGCATGAAATGTTGTGTTTTGATACCCTGCTTTCTCAATAGCATCAAGGTCTATGATTGTGACATTTTTGGCTCTTTTCTTGGAGGAAAGAGGTCCGCAGTACAATTGAGGTACCAGAGAAAACTCTGTACAAATGAAATTGTAATTTATTAGAACCTGCGAATAGTTAGACAAACTCCTAGTATAGTATAGAATAGAGATGGGGAAACTGTGATACGAGGATTGCCTGCAATGATCACAGGACTTGGGATAATGTCATTTACCGTTTCTGAAAAGAAATGGTGTATAGAGAAAGAACATGCAAAGGCTGCAGGACCAAACAACTATCACATTGAATCTAATTTCTTATGTTTGCGAAATATCTGTTTGGCATGTGCTCTGTTAGTTAGGTACCATCAATTGGAAAAGCTACTTCAGAAGGAAAACCCAAAAATTGGAAAAACTGTGATGGCAATATCCTCTGTTCAAGCCAGATAGCAAGAGAAGAGCTAGCTCTTTCTCAAAGCTATAATCTCTTTTTCCTTCATCTTCTACTTTTCGATACTCTTCCACTATTTCCTCTGATATAATCACAGTCCTACAAAGTGGACAAGTTGCTTTTCCATCCTTCTGCATTAATAGCCATTTCTCCAAGCAGTTTTCGTGGAACATATGCTTACAAGTTTCCAGCTTTCTCCCCTTGTCTCCATACTCAAATTCTGATAAGCATATTACACAATCTTGACCAAAGAATCCCATAAGCTTCTTTCTTCTAAACACAAATTTACAGCTCTTCTTGTTTAAAACTTCCCTATACTTGTAATTCGCGATCGCATATCTACATGAGTTCCAAAAAACAATAATAGCCAGTATCATGAACCTTACTACTTGAAGAAGCAATGAATAGAACAAATTTGGATACACTTTATAGAAGAGAGAGAAACACCTAGTAAGAGCTGCCATAGTTGATTGAGCTACTATTTACAAGCAGAAGAGATAAACATATATTGTAAGGGCAGAAAATATTGTCCAGTGATTATAATAACCCCGTCTTGGAGGGAAGTTAGCATGTAGTGGTTAATGTTTTTCATCTAACCTGCTGACTATATTGATGAAGCATAAAATATGAAGCAGAATTTTAGAAAACAATTTCAGGTTGAGTATTTTACAGAACATGAGGCAACTGCTACATATTGGATATAGTTGTAACATAAGTTGAAATATATGCGTTAAATGGCGAAGTTAGAATAATTGTGTAATATATTGGTTGTGGCTTTGTTTGGAAATTGTATTGCGTAATGCCAAGATAGATTAAAAAAACAATTAGGTGAGAAGATGTTTTGCAAATCCGCTTCATACAATCGATCCTTTTTCCATTTTTAGGGATCTCAAAGTTCAAAGAGGACTAGAAACAGAGACAAAAAAATACTTAAATATTTCGATAGCGTGTTCTATTTCATAATATTTTGAAGTAATTCAAACAAAAGGTGGTTACTGGTGCTATAGATATTTTACTGCAATTAAGCTATCAACTTTCGTGGAAATTCAAACAATTAGGTAATAAACCTCAGTAATGGTCTTCCATTTTCATTTTAAATTTGGGCGACGTATCATTTTTAACAAAACTTGAAAAAGAAAAAACATTTTTCTTTTCCTTTACTGTTAATTATACCTTTTTATCAGTTTTCATTTGCTCTTGGTTTAAAATAATCCATCTATAATAAATGGAAATGTATCTAATATTGATTTGCAACATTAGATTTCAAGCTTTGTATTTCCCAACCTCAAAGCTGTAGGCTTTTGCTTAGAAAATTCAGAACAGCCGAAAGCTTTTGCACCTTTGCAATCTCATTTTTCTATTGGCTTCAAGTTGAAATTTTAGCGCAATGTTAGTCCCTTTGACACACGATTTGAAATTTTTGGACTTACGTTCAATAGTATTATAACCCTGCTTTCATTTCTTTCTTTTTCTTCGGTATAAAGGAAAAATTCTTGTATTACTCCTCTATCTTGACTTTTACGTGACCTAGTTTGATGACAAAATTGAAATACTATGACAAGTCTAAAACTAGCACAGTTAATCTAATTTTTATCAGTGATAATGTGATGAGCCTAACGACAATAATTCATGGAAAATATTTACCCACGCCCAAAGTTAACACCAAATCACTTGCATACCATGATTAGGTGATAAATTTAAGTAAAAACTGAATATACTCTAATTAATGAACCATAGTTAAGTAAATGCATATATAAATATAGGGTGTGGATACAATTTTTCCATGACAACCTCCAAAAGAGTCTACCTACTTTGGGAAGGAGAAGAATGCAAGGTGCTTTGAAGATATAAACAGCCCTGCACAAAAAATCAAAATGAACTGCATTCTTCTTTTTAGTTTTTGGTGTTAAGCAGAATATATAGATGACCAGGTTCAATCATAAAAGTCTTAGGCTCCTTCAGAAGAACAAGGAAGTTTTTGTTTTTGTCTTAGCCTTTCTTGATGTAATTTGTGCTGTTGATTTATTAATATATTGAATTTTTTACCTTATAAAAAAAAAAAAAAAAGGTGTTGCAAGAAAATCTCAATGCACATGCACATCTAAAATGCAACAAAGAAATGCTTCAAGAGAAACCAAGCTACCATATCATTTGGTATGCCACAAGGATTAGAATAGTGTAATTAGTTACATAGAGGAGTTAAAGATTTATGACTGCATGAGCAGTTTATCAAAAACTCAATATAAAACAACATTTCTCATATCCTGAGAGAGAACTACTAGCAGCCAAGTTATGCAAAGCTCACTCCTGGAAGATAATCAGGAAATTGGTGGAGGATCTTGGGCAACCTAACAATTTCTCAGCCATTCGAAATAAATATCGGGATACACAGTTCATTGAACACCTCTTGCACTTTCATCTTTTTGATATGAGAACGAACTTTTCCAAAACCGTTGCTCTCTTCAACAGAAATTCTGAGAGTTTAAACAGCTTGTCAAAGCCCCAGTTGAAATGATTTTTCAAACACACCCCGGAGGAGATGACAATCTTAACTTTCTTGAGGTTGGGAAACACGAAGCTGGAAATCCAACTCTGCAAATCAATATTATCTCCTCTGGCCAAATATTTTAACTCATACTTGCAGAGGGATTCATCTGACTGGAGACAGATAATATAATCAGTACCAAATGCCAATAGAAGTGTCTAGTACGGAAAATTTTCAGAATCAACAAATCGTAATGGTACTTGGAAAATAATTATGATGGCTTTCCTAACATAAAGATTCATGGCGTATGTAAAACAAGTAAAGAGTGAGCACAAGAATCGGTTTCCTTTCGGAGCTCATTTGCTACAATGAAAGCAACACCACCAACAATAATAATGTGAAGCTTTTCAATGACATCAGCAAAGCTTCTTACTGAAAAGGATATATTTGTATTAACCTTCAGCAACCTCCCGGTAAGAGGGGGGTTGGGAGTGGGGGTGGGGAGGGGTAGTTAAAACGTCATAAGATGAATAGATGTGAAAAGAAGAGAAAAAGTTCCAAGAAGTTACATCAGTAGTATCCATGTCTATGTTGAGTGTCTCCACATAAGGCGAGGCTCGCAAAAAGCCAGCTACTCCATACAAGTTAAACTTTTTCATATGCAACTCTAGGGTCAGATGTTTGCATTTTGATTCTGGAATTAGCACCTCTTTGAACTGGAACATGCACAGGACCTGGTGCAGTAATCCCAACCAAACTAGTAAAGAATGAAAAAAAGCAAGAACAACAAAAAGAATGTACTCCACAGTCCACATCAGAGTGAATCGAACCGTCTAAACACTCTTATGCAACATCAATGTACTTAAATCCTGGTTTGTACAAAACAATCAGAGAAAATAAGGACTTTTGAGTTAAAAACAAACCTCTGTGAACCAAGTTCCGATTGTTAGCTCCGTTGCACAACTCACCTTTTGAAGATTATCTTGTACGAGGGTCCTAAGAAGTTGATGATAATCACGACAACTGTCTTCCTCTATATTAAAATGTTCAAGAATTTCAAACTTGATGTCTTTGATACACTTAAGGTTGAAAGTGAGGCAGGCATTAAACAAGGAGGACACATCAACTAGCCTGCACTTGAGATCATAAAGATCTCCTGAAATCTCCAAATGCTGAAGATACGGAGCAATAATTTCCAAGGAATGATCACTTCTATCATTAGCCATCCAATAACCTTTCAAATTCAGTCTCTTTAATTTTAAGGAATTAATTTCTAGGCTACTAAAACCCGCAACCAAAGATAATTCTAAAGTTTCCAAAGCAGGACAGCCAGACAGTAAGTTCACAATATGGTCCTCAGATAACAAAAAAAAACTCCAACTTTACGCTCTTTAAAGACTTCCACGCTACGACCGCATCACGACTAAAGCAACAAAATATAAAATCTAAAGTTATCAACGACGAACATGTACCGAAAGATTCAGGCCAAGTGCAAGTGCTATCATCATCTGACCAGAATACAACATTTTCCACTTTTTTCTCAACAGCAAAACTAAGACATCGGCTGATCTGCGACAGGTGTTCATCCAGGATACTACTATCTGACCAGTTTACATACCTTTCACTGCAGTCGAGCTCCAATTTTTTTATTTTGGGAGAAAGGGAATGGGCTAATACATAGTCAGCAAAGGATACCGGGTTTTCTACTTTAAGGTAATCTCTACAATTGAAACTGAACTTATCAACTAAAGTACAGAGATAGCGCCACCTTTTAGAGAGAATACATGTTGCGAATGCATCCTCTGTCGGCAAAAGAGAGAGAATTGGAACTAGGAGCGAGTCCGGCAACTCACTGAGTCGGTCTAGGGTTTCTTCAACTCCACTAACTCTCACTTTCTGTTGCTTCGACGGTGGAGAAATTGTCAAATTACTACTTCTAAACTCGTCGTCTCTGCTGGATTCGCCGGAAGTCATGATTTTGGGACCAAACGGATTGGGAATTGGAATCGTCTCTTCAAGCAAACACTTTAACGGTTTCTTTTCAAAACCCAACTTCGGTTTTACTCTTAGATTTGATGACGCAAACAAAATGAATAAACACATTTGACAATCTGACCCAAATGGAGTAACTCTTTTTCAGTAACAACATTTTTGGAATTATCCAAGAGAAATGAAATACTATCTCCGTCAACTTTTACTTATCCACTCTGGACTTTACACGCCCTTTAAAAAATAATAAATAAAGTATATAATTTATCATAATATCTATATTAATTGATGCATATTTTTAATGAATTTAAAAAAATAATTTGAAATGAATAATTAATACTGTAGGTATAATAGAAAAAAAGAAATTATCTTCTCTTGATATGCTAAAAGTGACAAATAAAAATAAAAATTTATTTTTAGAATACTGGACAAGTAAAAATAAATGGAAGGAGTGAGCCCGTTTAGATTGACTTAAAAAAAGTGGCTTTTCAGCATAAATCGCTTTTAAGCCAAAAAGTAATAAGTTGGGGTTTCCGAGCTTATTGCTTTTGGCTTGTTTTAAGCAGTTTTTAACTTTGCCAAATACTGAAAAAGCTAAAAAAAGATTAAAAGCTGATTTGACCACCTTAAAAGCCAAATCCAAACACCCTCAAAATAAGGTTTTAATCTTTATCTACTTAAAAATTATTACTAGTACATTATTATGAGGTTATTTAAGAGACAAAAGCAGGTAAGTTAGCAACATAAAAAAGAGAGCACTAGTAGTAAATAATATGCTACAATTAGTTAAATGTAAAAATAATTAATTATAGTGGTAGAAAACAAAAGGATAAGGTGTTAAATAAGTTGAACGTCAAGATAAATCTATATATAAATAAATCTATATTGTTGGGAATGAGAAAGATGACGTGGCACATTTCTAGTGCGCAGCAATTTTATTTATCTTTTTTCTCCTTTTTTGATAATTTTGCTTTTATTTCCCTATGATGTTGCCCAAAGATCCGTAATTATATTGGTTCTTTTTGAATTCTTTAATTTGCCAAGAACGGATGAAATTTTTGATATATTTAAGTCCCTATTTAAAGTCCTTAATTTGCCAAGAAACGGGTGAAATTATAGAAGAATATTAAGGGTCGGGGATAATATTTCCTCTATATAAAGAGACATAATCTTCGTTAACCATAGCAGCAGAAACATGATATAAAGTTTATTTAAGTGAACAGTACACAAAAAAAAGTAGACCAATGGGTAAAAGAGAGAAGGAAAGCATGTTTTTCTTTACTCTTTTTCGTTTTGTCCTTCTTTCATTTTGCCCCGGGAGAGGGGGAGGGAAAATCTTGGTATAGAGGATGTTCTCCAACTCCCTCTCAGTGATGGTCAAAGAAATTCATTTGATAGAATGGTAGGGGCCAGTTGTAGAAAGGGGGGCTGTAAAAAATTATGTACTGTTGGCTGAATTTTGATCCCAAAAAAAGCATATACAGTATGTTTTACTTGCTCAATTTCAGTTTCTATGATTTATGAGGATAAATTATTTAGCAACTTTCAAGTTGGAGTATATTCCATTTAAAGTGAGTCCTACTTGGATTTGATCTTTTTTTTCATGGCTTTTGACCTAGTTGCTTAGGGAAAAGATAGGCCGCACTACATCTATCCGCTATTGGAAATTGGGGTATTCCATGTACTTTTACAAGGAGTTTAGCGCAGTTTGTATACCAACTAAAGTATTAAAGATCTACTGCTATTTCAATTACCTGCTCATTTATCTTCAATTGAACTATAAGTACTCTTTTTCAGATGACTTTTGTTTTAGGCTTTTTGTTGTTGCGCGATCTTAATTACTTCTTTTAATACTCACTTCTTTGTTTAAAATAAATTTTTAGCCAAGGATTGTAGTTTTAGTTGTAAGGTGATTGTGTGTATTTTTTGTTTGTACTTGTGAAATGCAGGACTATAATTTTTGTTTCGTTTCTTATGCAATTCTTTAAGTTGGTTTATATTTTATGCAGAATGCATATGGATTGAAATGTAATCTTGTATTTCTAGATTATCTTTTGAAAGAAAAATTAAAAAGTAACTTTTTGTTTATACAAATATATTTTAAATTATTTTTAATATTCAGATACCAGAAAAAGTTTAAATCATAAATTCACGAGGTATTTTACAATCGCGCGAATATATTTACTAGTTGTTTAAATAAACAATAGTGCTAAGTATAGAGATCCGTCTATTATTTGACCAAAGCATTTAATGAACAGAACTTCTTAATCAATGTCACAAGGACCGTCTTGTTGAACGGAAATACTGTAACATGAGAAAAGAAAACAATTTTCAATAAGCAAGAGAAGCAAAATTTAGTCTTTCTTTGTATTAGGCCTCAAAATGTGTATAACTAACCTGCTTTATACTGGACTTTTGGTATCAGATTATGTAGAGTCAGTTTCACATTATAAGTAGTCGGGTCTCTCTATTCATATAAAATAGTTAGCTATTTTATAAATGCGTATTTTTAGTGCATCAAATATAATAGTACATCATACTATGCACCATTATATTTAACACCAAAGGAATTGTGACATCAGTAATCAGATTATTAGTACGGTACATAAGGCCTCTAAATGACCAAAAGATACATTCTTTATGATGTTTAAGATCCATTTATTAAATGTCATAGTTGTTCCTTTTCTTTGCCCATTATATTAAAAGTGCTTCAACACTTTTTTTACACTCAAATACATTATTGGAGCAGACCACTAATCTCTCTTTATAAACATATATTTATTACTTCCTCCGTCTAAAATTATATGTCGTGATTCTCTTTTATACATCCCTTAAGGAAATATTAAATAAAAAAGGGTTTTGACTATTTTTTACCCTTATTTATGTCTTAAAATATAATCTCTTTTCATTTAATACTTATTCATAATTAAGGTATTTGTAGTCTTCAAAAACAATTAATATTAAGGGTAGAATAGGAAAAAAAGAATTAATTTATTCTTGAACTTTTAAAATGACAAATAATTTAAGACAACTATTTTTAGAAACCACAACAGATAATTTGAGACGGAGGGAGTAGCGTAGTATTTTATCAAATCAATTGGAATCTTCAAATAAGTTGTTTCAATCTTATATAGAACGTCATACGGTGTATGCTGAGATTATTCAAAACTTAGTAAGGTACCAGTAATTCTTTTACATGGGATTTATCAAGGTCCTTCTGCAATAGTTTTGTTAAGCAACGAGATTTACAGTAGAATCGACAAAGTGTAAACTAGGGTTCATGAGAGTTGAGAGAAGGTTCGAGAGAATCTGATATCTTCTTAGTTGAAAATATAAAATCTGTACAATATGAAAATGGTTTCTACTAATAAATAGTGGGCCTGACCCGGTGAGCTACCTATTACAAAATAATGGACTCAATAAAAACATGGGCCTAAATACTAAAGTGGCCCAAATGATCAGCCTGCATCCAATATCCTAACAGCCCCCTCAAGTTGGAGGGTGATAAAACTTGATCACGCCTAACTATGCCTTATAAAAAGGACTAAGTGGTCGTTGCAAATATAATCCGGTTTACAAGTCCGGAGTCGAATCCCACAGAGAACTAAGGCTTAGCTACAACTGTTCAATATTGCAAAGAAACACAAGTTCGAATAATTTCCAAATTATAAAGATTATAATGTTTATTTTTATCTAATTAACTAACAAATACTAGAAAGCACTAAAACTATCAATTAACATGGATGAAATTATAGACAAGACTAAGGAGGTCTAGAGTTATGATTTCCCCAATTGTCGGAATCCTGTCTGCTACGTTTCCTATAAATTTGCCTAAGTCTTCTCTATCGACCATGAGCACTCTAACTGTCGTAACTCTCTCCCGAGTAATTACCACAATTTACTAGACATATTCTCCCGAATTACGCTAGCTGGCATTAAGTACAGCTCACTCAGATCGCACCAAGGTTTCATTATCCCTAATCCCACCTTTAAACCTCCATATTGATCCGTTATATACGTTTAGGAATGCTGTTGTTCAACAACTACCTAAATATGCACTCTCTCCCGAGTAATACACAGCTAATTGAGAGCCCTTCAATCAATCACAAGAATAATATAGTTGAACAAATAGAGAAAATACTACGACAAATCTATATTAACATAACAAGAAAATCATCCTTCAATAGGTTTCATCAAAACTCTAGATTAGAAAGTTAGCTACTCATACTCATATTAACAATATCCCAAATATTTTGTATAATTAAAATACAGAGTAAAGATGAAAAGATGTATAAATAGATGATTCTAACTCCCAAGAGGTGATTCCACCAGCTCTCCTTGCCTCTAGCTTCCCAAAAACGTGGCTGCTGATAGAACCCCTTTGGATGCTGAAACCACCCCCTTCCAAGTGGTGTTTTAGGTCTATTTATATGTGTAGAAGAAATCCTAAACGTGTGGGCTGGGTCCTAGTCAAACCCGAAATGAATTAAGTCTTCAAAACTCGGATTGAACCTGGCGTTAGGCCTGGCGTCGCCAGCCTAACGCCTGGAATTTGGCTGGCCTCGCTACTT